CAGGACCAGACAGGAATAATAATGAGGGATGTTTAGCCCCACCAGGACCGCATGGGAATTACCCGGGCAGAAGTTCCAGAAACCATGTTAAACCGTTGGGTAATATTAGGGTCCCCCCCCCCCACCCCCAACGACAGCCGGGATGGGGTACTAAAAAAAAAAAAAACCCGAAGAAAACAAAAACCCTAAACAACTGCGGCCCATATTGTGTACTTTGTGAACAACACCGTGCAGCAAATTCACTGAGAAACAAAAGATCAGATGGTTCGATCATCTAGTAAGAATGCAGAGCAACGACTAGAGCAAGTTCTTCATATGAACAGATCTGAAGTGAAAGCAAGTGGTCGCCCTATGAGTATATGAAGTGATGACATTAAGGAGCTTCTAGATCGACATGGAATTGCGGCTCATCAAGCAACGGATCGCAAACTGTTCCTACCCACGTAGCTTAACTACAGAAGTGGACATTTGTGATGATGATGGTCAGCATTTAAATACAAAACGCACTATGCATATACCAGGTTCAAGTCCAAATTTTCATTCTATTCTTAATAAGTGATTGATACTTGTGAACGAAATATATAAAAAATTAATTTCTGCTAATTTGTGTTTACAATATTTAGTTCATAACGTAAATTTCATTTATATGCTTTGAAAATAGTTATTTGTCATTTCAAAGTTATCGGTAGTTTACGGTTGTGAATAATTCCTCATGTTTTCAAACTGGCAACAGCCACCAGTCTGCGGTTACAACAGACGAGAAGTTGCCTAGCCGTGGATAGCTTGAAATTATGGAATGTTGCAGATACAAGCCTTGTCAACAAACTTTTTGTTTATGATTGCTTTTAACTCTTATTGATATCACTTACTGTTTGTAGATATAGAGATTTATGAAATTTGTGCGTTTGCTGGGCAAATTCAAGTGATTCCTCCAACGTCCTTTGTGAAACTAAGGTGACTTTTTAAACTTTTTTTGTGTGTGGTTTGTTTATTATTATTATTATTCTCTTAACTTTCTTTACGTTGTTTGTTTGATGTTAATTGTTAACACTGGTCACCAAAATCAAATAACATTTTCCATCTTAGGACATATTTTAACTTACTTCATCAGCTTCTATGCACATACATTATTCAGGAGCTAATAGAAGGTTTGTCGGCTCTGTGGCTAAGTCGATGCGAACGCTTCGTAATGCCGAGATGCCGGGTTCGATCCCAGCTGCGGGCCATACGCCTTGCGTTGGCTTTGACAGTAGCATCAAGGAAGCCAACCGCACAGAAAGCAGTGGTAAACTACTGGACGTAAATTTGCCTAGAAAAACCACACAACAGGGGTTGGTTCTACAACGTCCTGTAAAGGATATGCAACTAACCTAATAAGAAGGTACACCTTTCAGAGCAGAGTATCGTGGCATGTTTTTAGATCCATCAGGGATCCATGAAAAATTACAATTCTTCTTCTTCTTAGCATTCATCAGCTGTAAACTCTGGCGAAAAGTTCTGGTTGTTCATCAACTTCTTGACTGCAGTCTTGTTCCAGTGTTGCGTGTGCATCCATTTTACAGATCTGACTCATTTGTGTGCAGACTGCTGGTTCCTTGCCACTCAGGCAGATGTACTCTGACTTCGAAGGCAGCTCTAAGTTAGTCGACTCTTACGGCATGCTTTTGTGTAGGCAGTGGGTCTATTCTTGTGTTCCCCATAATAGGGCCCCCGAACCCACACAGGGAAAAATGACAATAACATGTAAACACTTTGAGTCACTAACTTGAAAGAAAAGGCCAGGTGCAGAGCTGAATAGACGCATATGATATCTGCAGCAGAGAACCTCAGTGGCTTTGGAAGGCTGAAGAAGAAAAAAGAAAAACAGAAGAATGGTTAAATTGTTTCTCAGTTTTAACAGTCAGCATCATAGCATTTATAACAAATCCACAGAATCTCTCTCCTTTAGAAAATGTGATAAGATGCAGATGCTAATCGTTCCACTAACACAAAGGATGTGAACATCAGATTTGTCCCTTTCAATGCCTAGTGCTTGGTTTAGACACAGTGAGACCTTATGCTAGCTAAACTATGTGCATCTTTGAAGGTCTCTTTGACAAACCAACATCAGAAGTCTTTACAGCATTTTAAAACGTTTTAACCACTGGTTCTGGGACCTCATTTGGGGGCGGGGGAAGAAAATAGTTACTTTCTTTCTTATCAAAATGTAGGCAACCGTCAGTCCCTGGCCACCATGGAGTTGTGCTGCTGGTTTTAGGAACAGCGTCTGCTATGACTGGAAAGTCCAGTATGGGAGTCGCAGTCTCTGCCACATAGTCCATGTAAAGTCCACTGTGAGAGTCGCAGTCTCTGCCACCTAGTCCCTGTAAAGTCCAGTGTGAGAGTCACAATCTCTGTCATCTAGTCCCTGTAAAGTCCAGTGTGGGAGTCGCAGTCTGTGCCACCTAGTCCATGTAAAGTCCACTGTGAGAGTCGCAGTCTCTGCCACCTAGTCCCTGTAAAGTCCAGTGTGAGAGTCACAATCTCTGTCATCTAGTCCCTGTAAAGTCCATTGTGGGAGTCGCAGTCTGTGCCACCTAGTCCATGTAAAGTCCACTGTGAGAGTCGCAGTCTCTGCCACCTAGTCCCTGTAAAGTCCAGTGTGAGAGTCACAATCTCTGTCATCTAGTCCCTGTAAAGTCCAGTGTGGGAGTCGCAGTCTGTGCCACCTAGTCCATGTAAAGTCCACTGTGAGAGTCGCAGTCTCTGCCACCTAGTCTACATTAAAAAAAAAAATTATTTTGAGGCTGGTTTTCCCTCAGCTGTCTCCTCTCTATAGCTTACTGGGTTTGGCCTCTTTCAACCTGCGACAGTCCGTCTTTGACCTGCCTCCAAAGGAGTCAGTCTGCAACTTACCTCTCCCAAGTGTCTGTGTCAGTGCTGATGCTAATTATGAATTAGTCCAGCCCATAACTGGAATCAAACCATGTATCTCAGAATTACACATTGTGTTGACAATCCCCAACCCACAGACAAAAGGTATTTAAGATTAAAATAGTATTCCAAGAAACAACATGTGGGTCTCAGGCGTATATTTTATGGCGGAAAAAAAAAGAATAGATCCACTGGCCCCTAACAAGCATGTCATAAAAATGACTGATTAGAAGTTTGCTGAAATTGAATGTGTTGGACCAAAAGGTGCAAATATCTCAGCCTAGCTGTAAATCGCAAAACAGTGTGCCAACCACCTGAAAAAAGAAAAAAGAAGTAGTATTTTAATAAACACTTCACTATAGGTTTTGAAAAAAGAAGACTAAACACTATTGTACAATTCATTGTCTGGCATGTTTCACTGTATCTTGTCAGCTTCATACTACACAAATGAATTGAAATAAGAAGCAGCACATAGATTATTCATTCCAACTGAAATACAGAAATCCACCACTCTTTAACTGTTTTACCAGGAGAGTTGCCAGTTTATGGCCAGGTCATTTTGTCTACACAAAACTGAAGCAGTGGTTAAAGCAACTGCTTCAGCAAACTAAAGCCACTAAACTTTTTTGTTTGATGTATAAGGAATTCAGAATGTGTTACTCTTAATATTGAAGCCACAGTTTTAGAGATGATGAGCTTTAGATGAAGTATTATAATTTCGTCTGGTCATTAATTATTAATTTCATTCAGAATTTATTTTTTAATTTTTTGCTTTAATTTAAAGAAAGTTGTGTTAAATCTTTATTATGCCATTTTTTCACTCATTGTGGGGTTAAGCATCACTAACTCATATTAATAACCTTGCCTTTTTTTTTTCAAAATCAGGTCTTAAAATATAGCTAACCAGCATCAACCAGCATAACAATGTCTAAATCTCGGAGCTCGGAAAGTATGGGTTTTGAGGGAGAAGAGTCAGGAAAAAGAGAGAAAAGTCCCATTGTTAAATTACTGGGATGTAAGTTCATTGTTATATGTTTTATTTACTTATTACTATTGAATAGATCATGTTATATCAATGTTCTTCAAATACCACAGTTTACAAAGAACTATTTTTGCTGCTTTCCAGTCCTGTCCTTCCTGTATTCTTTGCTGCCTTTGTTTCCTCTAGATATTTCATACCCAGTTACTTGGCAGGATTAGCATCTGGAGTTGCTAAATATTTAACTCACACTCCTGTGTTCTTACTGTATATTAATCCATACTTTCAGCACTCTCACACTTCCATGTTGGTAGACTGCTGTACTCCAATACTCCATGTTATGCTGCTATCTCACCTCTGTATGGTTAGACTTGTATGCTCTGTGATCAGTGCTTTTAGTGCTCTCACACCACTGCATCCTTAGACCAGTATATTGTTTGTTAATCCATGCTTCTGGTGCTCTCACACCACTGTGTTGGTAGATTAGTTATATGTATCATATTTCCAGTTCTCTCTTACGACTGCTTTTATAGACCAGTACACTCTATTTGCTTTGGTCTCAGTAAATCTGTTTTGGCTTTGGCATTCCCCCACTGGCTGAAAGGATGATTTTCTGATCTGTAGTTATAAACAAAAGTTTAAACAGCCTAAAAAGTCTATGGTTAAGCACCAGCAAGGAGATCAAAATTAGAATTTTGAGAGCATGCATCTTCCCTGTAGCAAACTTACGGATGTGAGTCGTGGACTATCTCCTGAAATGCTATAGAAGGATTCTCAGAATATCTTGTACGAAAAAGAGGAGAAATACTGACATCTTGAAAGATCTGTACATCAAGGAAGATTGGCTAATTAACAGCATCCTGTCTCTGAAGCTGAAATATTTTGGTCATATCAAGCGCCACGACGGATTGTAAAATTTTTTAGCAGAAGGCATGGTACCAGGAAGAAGGAGGGGCAGCGGCCGACCAACATGAATATGGGCACAGGATATAAGTGACTCCTTGAGTATGAAAGTGCATGAGGCGGGAAAGCTGGCGAGAGACCCAGTTTCTTTCAGGCAGACCGTGATGAGAGTGACGTTCTGCAAAGGACCTGCTACATGATGATGATGATGAGTTGTAAACATCCATTTGACTTCTTCAGTCCATTCGGGTGTATCAGAGTTTCTGGCATCTGGAGCTTGACAGGATAGTTGGTGTGAAGTGCTTGAGCTGCTGTTGCTGCTGTTTGTCATATTCAGCCTTGTTTTCTTGTCACTTATCTTTCAGGAATATTTGACCACTCCACTCCCATATTTTTGTTCTTGTCATTGTTGTTGGTATCGTAGGTTGGGAAACTCCAACACTTGAGCTTTTTGCAGGTTTTTGCTAGAGTTCTAGTTGGATCCACAGTGTTTGCATTAGTTATATTGGTGCCTCTTTCTAGCTGTTTAACATTATTATTTCATGATAGACACATAACAAAGGGGGGAAAAAAACCACAATTATCTACATAGAGTGACCTACTTGTAGAGCATGTGTGCTTCTTTTGTACACACTTGGGATCCTCACTTGTGCTATGGGAGAATCATGCACTATGCTGTTTCTCTTTGTGTTGTGTTAATCTGTTGTAGGAGACAAGAACAGTTATAGAGACACTTGTGTCGAATGGCAGTGATCCTTTACAAACAAGTCAAAGAAACAATTGTGTGGAAATATGTGTGTTTATACATATATGTGTGTTTATACATATTATATGTAAATGAGGAAATTTTGTTTTGATCAGATTTCTGGAACACTCAGTACACTTCAGAATCATCTGACCAGGAGACTTTGATGAAAAAAACCTTCCGTGAGCTAGTGATCTATCTTGTGTTTCTGATTTTTGTTTGTATCAGTAAGTATTATGCTATTCAGATTTGTGCTTAATTAGTGTAATGACCGTTACACATGTACGCTTATATGTCTATAAAGAATTTTAAGACCATTAGGTGACCTCATACAAGTAAATTGACCAGTGAAATGGCATTTTGCGGACAGAAAGTTCAGACATTGATCGCTCTAGCAGTTTTATTGTATATCTCGTCTTCTCAGATGAGGGCGAAAAATAGGAATTTATGTTTGAATTAAGAAGGATCAGTTATGTTAGACAGCCTGTTTATTATTTTAAATGAAATTTAGATTTTTTCTGCCAGCATGCTAAATAATTATAACATGCTGAATGCCAGTCATCTGAAAATAATATTTTAGTTTGCATATATGTGTATGTGTGTGTGTCTGCTAGTGCATACATGTGTGTTTTTTCTTCTTTAAATAATCTTTACCTGTTATTTATAGTTGGTCATCACAACCTTTTTTTTCCAATTCTCGTTTCCGATTCTCACCAGTTGCCTTTGGAATGGCATCAACAAACATGTATTACTACACAAAAGTCATGATGGACCTGTTCTTAGATTCTGAATCAGAAAATCATGTCAGCTTTCGCACAGTTGCCAGCGCTGAGGATTTTTGGAAGGTAGAGTAGAATGACAGAAGGATTAAGTAAATGTTCTTATATAATAACTTGTGCTGTGTTATCAACAATTGTACCAACAAAGGAGCATCAATAATCTTTCATCACTGTGTAACTGACCCTGAGGTATCTTCTTCTTGTTTTGTCGTCTCACTGATACCAGGTTGTAGCCCAGTGTTATGATATTCTGTATTTTTCGTACACTTCTCAGGTGGCTTGGGTGATGGATTTGTTTATCTTCTTGCAAGTGACAGCTACATCATTTATTTCTTTCTTTCTTGGTCTTTCCATCGCCTTCTTCCCAGATGTTCTGCTGAAAATTAAATCTCATATACAGTTTGATCTGGTTGCATTTGCACTAGGTGGCCGAACAAGTTAATTCTTTGTTTGGCAATGTAATTTACAAATTTCAACTTTATCTCTAATGCTTGAATTTGAAGCCCTGTCCCTTCGTTTGTTATATTATTATGTTTTTATAGAGAACACCACATTTCAAATGTAGTTATTTTCTCTACTAGTGCCCTAGTCATTATCCATGTTAGGCACTGATAGCATGAAGTAGGGATGAAGGTGCTGTAATCATTTGCTGTTTTGCTATAACCCAAGGTAAAAAAAAAAAAAAGTAAAAAAATTCATTTATCAAACGAAAGTCTAGCTAGATAAACCTGCTAGTTTTTTCACAGCGAAAGTCCAGGATTGAGGGAAAAGGGGTGGGGGGGGAGGGGTGGAGAGGATGTGGTCTGAACTACATGTGAGAGCAGAGCATAGGATGATTAAGTGTCTGTTAAGGGCACGTCACGTGCTGCACAGGGATACAGGACAGGAGAAGAAACTAGTGGTTAGTTGGAACTGGTTGAAAACCTAGTTGTGGTACTGCTTGAACTCCCTAGTTTGTAGATGTTGAAAACCTAGTTGTGGAACTGCTTGAACTCCCTAATTTGTAGATGTTGAAAACCTAGTTGTGGAACTGCTTGAACTCCCTAATTTGTAGATGCACTATGTACAGTGGTCTACAATATTCTGAGCTAGACAGGAATTAATTGCTGAGGGAATCTGATCACACATAGACTTTTGTATAAAGCCATGGCTTAGTATATAGACTTAGATACATAGATAATTTCATATAAACATATATTTTCTCCTCCTTCTCTTCCTCTTTCCTTTTTTTTCCCCTCCTTTTTCTCCTTCTCCTCCTTCCCTTTCATTTTGCTTGCTGCTTTCTTCTTCTGACTTTTCTTCTGTTTCTCCTCATTTGATTCCTCCCCACCTTGCAACAGTCTTTAATGACTACGCTGTAAGGCAAGACCTGATGAATAACTCAGCGACAGTTTGGAATTCCTCTATAGTTTCAGATAGCATGTATGTCAAATCCTTCCTTGCCTCATTCTTGCTGCTTTAAAAGTACTGCAGGCAGCTGTCCCAGTGGTTGTCAGATAATTTTGCCATGTGTAAATGTCCATTCTTTAGTGTTGTCACACAAGATTTAACATGCCTGTCTCTTTGCCATAGATAGTTTTCCTTCGTCTTTATGCTTCTTTTCTTGATCCCCATATATAGGCTGCCAGCTAACTCACGCCTAACCATTTTAGAATTCATAGTTGGTGATTTTTGCTGCTGTAGCTTTTATGGAATGAATGAATGAATCGGTACTCCTGTCAAATCCGGACGAAGAATAAAAAGCCTTGGACGACTTAGTCAGAGTTCTCTCCCTTGGGCGCACTGCGAACAGTGATCGGAAAAGCCACAACGAAACAAACGACACAAGCAACATGGCAGTTAGACGCACTCACATAACTAACATCGTTATTCCGACGCACGACTTAGTTGCCACGGACGTAACTCCTGCAGACCTGTATGCCATAATGACAGATAAGTATGCGTGGTTGCGGTGGCTAGCTGAGCATAGTCTGATAAGGAACACGCAACCGTGTTCCTCGTGCACGCGGCCAATGTTCCTATGTCCCAGTCACATACACACACAAACAATTGAGGGCCTCTGGATGCTGGTGAAACGCACCATTCGCCAACGATTGGGCACCAGCCGCACACTATTGGCGTCATATTTAGCAGAATTCCAGTGGCGCCACGCCCACAAACATCAGATTGTCGGCCACTATTTCCAAACCCTACGTCAAAATTTTAACATCTAACCCTAACCCTAACCCTACCCCTAACCCTAACCCGACCCATAACCCTAACCCTACCCCTAACCCTAACCCGACCCCTAACCCTAACCCTAACCCGACCCCTAACCCTACCCCTAACCCTACCCCTAACCCTACCCCTAACCCTAACCCTACCCCTAACCCTAACCCTATCCCTAACTCTAACCAAACAACCGCATGATGATGACTACACAACCATTCACAATGCCTCACGAAACCGTACGCAGCCCTAAAGGCAACCGCAGGATGATAGGTAAGTGTGTCGTTTATTTCGTTTGTTTTCCGATTACTGTTCGGAGTGCGGCCAAGGGAGAGAACTCTGACTAACTCGTCCACGGCTGTTTATTCTTCGTCCGGATTTGACAGGAGAGCCAATGAATCAATCAAGAATTCACCTCGCTAGATTCCGGCAGACCTTATGTAAAATGCATGAAAAGAAAAGGTCCTCACGCATACCTATGTTTTTCAGAACAGTAGTTCAACAGCATAGAATCCCTGTATGTTTCATGCTTCAGTTTGCAGAAGAACCTCTACTGGATGGTCTGTACTGGGACAAGTGGTACAACGGTGATCCGCTGCCTCCCAACACAGCTGGATACATTTACTATGAGAACAGGCTCCTGGGGGTGCCCCGACTCCGCCAGCTCCGAGTGAGCACCAACTCATGCACTGTTAACGAAGAGTTTGAAACATTCATCTCTGACTGCTATGCAATGTACAGTGAGCAAAATGAAGATAGGAATCCATTTGGCCGAAATGTGCAGGACCCAAATGAGACCGCGTAGGGTGGTTGATGTTTAGTATTTTTTTTTTTTTTTTATGGTTTTCATTCACTATTTAATTTAGTATTCATTTCCTTTTGGCTGTTTGTTTTAAGTCATTTTTTCTCTCTGTGTTTTCTATATTATCTCATAAGTATAGGTCCCTTTTCCACACCATTAGGCATACAGGGCTAGACCTATATTTTATAGACTAATCAGCACGAGATGGGTGATGTGGTCAACATCATGCCGGCCGCCTTTACTTCCGGAGACTGCACCTGATACCCACTCAAGACTGGGTCGACCTGGGAGTCAGGTAATTAAAGAAAAATAAATCTGGCTCCACCAGGAACGAATCCACGACCTTCCGATCCGCACGCAAGCGTCTGGCCGTTACGCCACGGCGACTCCCATTATCTCATGCATCTTTTTAATTATTTTTTGTTCATTTTTTCTATATTTTTTGCATAGGGGGCATATGAGTTCGTCCACGTGCCTGCCTTTAAAGTGGTACATGTTCCATCCCCTGGTCAGACACGGTGTTTTTATTGTCTGTATGATTCTGGTCAGCGTCAGAATTGGTACCATATAAATTTCAGAACTTTTGAAGAATTATCTTTGAAGGAAAGAATGAATCGACCAACTTTATTTTAGAGCGTTAAGAAATGGGCACGCAGGCGCGTCTTACATTCTGCGCTTTTTGCCTCGTTTATTACCTACAGTATTCCATTTGTACATCAGTTACCATAGTAATAATAATAATAATATGAGTCATGTAATTCTTAGTTTCAGTTGCTGGGATATGCTCTGATTATAACTACATTTCTAAACTGTAATAATACTAAGTATAGTAAGTGTAATCAATCTATAGGGAAAGCACAGTATGTTTAAAACTATTATCTTTTTAAGGAAGCGTATGCGTATAGTTTGTGTTGGTCACATCACCCATCAGTTGCAAGTAAGTCTATAAAAATCTGGGTTCAGCACTGTTTCTTGATGCGCGCGTGGTACACGTGCGCGCGCACACACAAAGACCCCCACTCTCATTACTGCCTGCATTTACTACTTTTGTAGTTTAGTTTGGGAAGGGGGGGGGGTCTTTAAGCCAGAGGATTAAGGATTGCCTAGCTAGTGCAGTCACCATGGTGGGTACATGTTAGGGTCTGATAGAAAATAAACTGTAACCTTACAGCGGATTCACATTGCTGTCATGAGAGGCCAGCATTCTTACCCATTCTGACAGCTGCTGCTCTAAAAAAAAAGAGTCCTTTATTATTTTAAAAAAAAAAATTTAATATTGAGTTTTTATCAGAGTAATGTCTGACAGTTGTGTGTTCCTTTGACCAAGGTGGGTGTATCAAACACAAACAGAACTGGAAGGCTTTTCCTACTGGGGAAAGATAAACGCCTACAGTGGTGGAGGCTTTGTGAAAGACCTGGACCTGGCCAAGCTGCGGTCCCAAGAGTACATTACCTACCTGAAGAACAGTCTGTGGATACAGAGGGGAGCCAGGGCGCTGTTTGTTAGTTTCACTGTCTACAATGCCAACATCAACTTATTCTGTGTTATCACGTAAGTATCATCAGATCATTATGTTTTTTTCCCTCAAAAACAGTCCCATGTGTGATTGGCTATTGAGTCCCTGCATCAAGAAATGCATTGTGTGTTACAGTACCTTCTACGTTTGGTTTGAACCTACCAAATAAATCAGGCAGAATATTTTACCATTCAGCACAGTGTAAGAATTTTAATAAAATAATGCACTATAAGTTTCATTATGGTTAATGTCCCTCTTGAATGATTGCCGCAAAACTTTCTGGGACTGAAATAGTTTATGCACTCATTCTATTTCAGACTACTCATTGTTTGTACATTTTTTTTTTACTCATTACATGAAATACATTCATAATTTGTTCTATCTCATGTCACTTGTCCCATTGGTCTATTTATTGTCTAGCCCCATTTGAATGTTGAATATCTTTTTTCTTGTCTGCAACTAACTTGCTGTTAGACATAGGAATGTGGGCCACCTCAGATGTTTTTTGTTTTTGTTTTTGGAAAGGCAAATAAGTTATCTTGGTTGCAAGATGTCTGTATTTTACTGTGCCCGCTTGCTGGTTTTTTTTAAAAATCCATTCTTTCGGAAAACTGGGGGAGGGGTCATGGCTGAGAGGTTTACGCCATTTGCCTCTTGCTCCGAAGGTCATAGGATCATTTCACATATGGGTTGTTTCAGCTGATGATTGCAGTTTGTACAGAGATCGCTGCTGTTCATCACTGTAGCCAGGGCCGTCTTAAGGCATAGACCCTGCTGGGCACTTGCCAGGGGGGTCCCATGCTGATCTGTGCAAGTAGTTCATCTCAGATCTTTGTCCCCAGCTATCAAACTTGGAGGGCAAGAGGTTTGTGTCTTCCCTGGTACAGCCTGATTTCAGTGACTCTGCCTGTAACTGGGGGAGGTATAGATGTGGAGAATTCATTTCACAATTCATCAATTTCTAACCTCTTTTGTCTTGAGCTGTAGAAATACTTTTTAAGCCTATTTTTGCATGTGCATGCAGGCATGCATGCATGGGTGGGGTGGGGAAGCAGAACTGTACATATAATTCCTTGATATACCAAACAAAACCTAGTGAGACACTTTATGCTGTATCAAATGCCTACCCTAAATTGTGGCGAGGAAGTGGTCAGAAAGTTGTAAGCCTATTGTGGATTTTCTGTTCAGGACATGCAAATGTGGGTGGCATGCTGATATATTGGCTGCTGCCACATCTCTGTTTGACAGTATACTAAATTGAGCATAGGGTAAAAAGCTTTCTGGGATTACAAGAATGGTGCAGCAGAGCAGAAAAAGCATCTATACTTGGTGAGATTGTTTCAGCAGGGAGTGAGTAGAGAGTCTAAACCAAACTCAACACTTTGGGTGATTGATTGGGTGACTATTAATCAGTTTGCCAGTGGCATCATCATCATCATCATCATCATCACTGTTGGCTGCTGGAGGATAAATGAACAAACTTTATTTCCATAGGGTTACAAATTGGGCACGCAGGCTCTTTTAAACATCATAATTCATAATAAAGTCAGACTATAATAGCTTGGATAGCAAATGCATGCCTTCAAATATACCTGCAAAAATACACACACAGTGCAGGCATACAGGCCCAAACACACTTACACACACGGGGGCGCACACAGTGACAACAGACACCCACAACACACACTGCCACAATTTATACAAACATACACACATTCACAAACACAACATACACATATACAAAACAGACAGAAGACACACAACAACACAACATAAACAGAAGAAAGAGATGAAGCACTCATAAGAATGCCCAGAGTGGAAAAAAATATTTCTAGACTCATAAATTCATTCATTCATTAAAGTATAGTGTTTTCCCAGTTGCAATGATGATTTACCATTTTCACTTCATAAGACTGCTTGTAGAGTTCCCAGCGACTGGGGGTGCCATTCCATCCTGGTCATTTAATACTGTCAAGCTGATCCGGTACGTGACCACGTTTGATCATTTCATCATGGCTTGTGAGATCATCTTTGTGATTTTCATTGCATACTACACGGTGGAAGAAATCATAGAGGTAAGATATGAACACCTTGTATGGTAGTACTTAAACAGTGACTGCTCTAAGACAGAGCACATGGTGCCCCTGGGAAGTGCACACAGAATCCTTGGGAAATGCACACAGAGCCCTTGGGAAGTGCACACAGAGCCCTTGGGAAGTGCACACCCCTGGGAAGTGCACACAGAGCCCTTGGGAAATGCACACAGAGCCCTTGGGAAGTGCACACAGAGCCCTTGGGAAGTGCACACAGAGCCCTTGGGAAGTGCACACAGAGCCCTTGGGAAGTGCACACAGAGCCCTTGGGAAGTGCACACAGAGCCCTTGGGAAGTGCACACAGAGCCCTTGGGAAGTGCACACAGAGCCCTTGGGAAGTGCACACAGTGGAGCATCACACATCCTCAGATGTTGACAAAGATTCATAGAACAAGAAATGCGTAAACATTAGACATTAGCAGACATCCTGAAGATAGAACAGAATTATAAGGAAAATGTAATCAAACCTCTGTCTGTCTGCTTGTCAGTCTCTCTATATTTAACTTTCTCTCCAGCATATCTTCTTCTCATACTCCAAGTAAGGCTGAATGTCTGAACGTAAAAATGTGCATATGCAGTGCAACTGGGTGACATGTCTTCTCCTGCTGATAAGTGAGATTAATTATTTATTTAGTGACATGAATTCAGTTTATTCCTCAGATTCAAATTATTATTTCCTTCATGTAATAGATATAAATGCACCATTTTTTCCTCAGATTCAGATTATTATTTCCTTCATGTAGTGATAAAAATGCACCGTTTATTCCTTAGATTCAAGTTATTATTTCCTTCATATAGTGATATAAATGCACCGTTTATTCCACAGTTTCATTTTGTTATTTTCTTCATATACTGATATAAATGCACTGTGATAAAATTTTTAACTTATTTATGCAGTGATATAAATTTACTGTTTATTCCACAGATTCACGTGACGGGCATCAAATACTTTGCAAACTTGTGGAATATACTGGACGTGGGTCTAGTTATCATCTCCATCATGTGTATCATCTTCAACATTTACCGCACATCGACTATCGAGGCCAAATTAAATGACCTGCTGAAAGATCCCTTAAAATATGCAAATTTTGAGAACCTTGGATTCTGGGAAATGCGCTTTAATAATACAGTGGCGGTGACCGTTTTCTTTGCATGGGTTAAAGTGAGTGACTGTTGTTATGATTTCATGTCAGTATTGTTAGGGTCAGTGTTTGATATTTAGTTATGATGTTTTTTTTTCTTTCTGTGTGTCTATGTATGTAACTGTGAATGAGTTAATCCGTTTTGTAGAGTCATTTTGGGAGTGTAATGAATTCTTTTGTGCCTAACATTGTTTACATAAGGTGTATAGATAAAGGATGATCTATGTTTGAATTTATATTATTTTATTGATTTCATTATTTAAGGTTTTGAGGAGCGCCTGGCCAAATGGTCAAGAACTCTGGCTCTTATGTGGAAGACTCAGGTTCTAATCCTCTGTAAGGTCATGGATTTTTTTTTTAGTCGAGGGAAATCCTAACCTGAACAGTCTGTGGTGACAGCATTAACCATGTGACCCTAAATCCTCAGGTTCAGACCCCCCCCCCCCCCCACCTACAACTTAGAACTGGTGTATACAGGCAGTAATGACATTTTATATTATTGTTTAATATTTGTAGATCGTCATCACTATACTGATGTTAATTACAATCAGCAAGTGGACGATACAGATCAAATTTTATGGTCTACTGATAGACTTGCAAACTTCATTGATGATGATGACGATCTAGAAACAGTTGACCATTTTACATACCTGAGGTCTTCCGCCAGTAGCAACCTAGCCATCGACCTAAAAATCAACATCAGGTTTGGTAATTCGGCAATAATGATAAGTAAGTTACTGAAGATATTAGGAGAACAGAAAGTTCATGTTAAAAACTACAACCCTTGTTTATCAAGCTTGTGTCTTTATCGTTCTTTTTTTTTCTTCTTCTTCTCTTCTGCTTTATAACTCAGTGAAGTGTCGGGGAGATGTAACGTTCGTTGATGAGCTCTGTCAAGAGCACTATTTGGATTGATGTTCATATCTGTAAGGCTGTTTTTTATGCCATCACTCCATATTTTCCAAGGTCTTCAGCTCGCTCTATACCCATTGTAACGTTTCACTGCGCCTCGTTATGGCAGACAGTACAAGGGCATTCTTGTTAGGTGTCCAAACCACTTCATTTGTTGTTCTTTGATGACCTTAAGACTGGCTTTATTCCTAGCATTCGTCCGATTTTGTGATTTCGTATTCTGTCTTTCTTTTAAACTTCTGCAGCTCTTCTAAGGCATTTCATCTCTTTTATCACAATTTTACGTTCATTAGAGGATGTAAATGTCTACGTTTAGCACTAATAGCATAGCGCTGGTAAAAAAAAAAATTGTTTCAATAAGATTCACTTTAGTACTCTGGAGTATTTGTTTGTATGTCACCAGTTGAGATAGTTACACCAGTATTTGATTAGCTTTGGCACATCTGGAGCTAATTTCTCTTTCCAGTTTTCCATCCGATGTGAAAACTGCTCCCAAATACTTGAATTCCTCTGTTTGTCTTAAGGCGTTGTTTTTTAATTTTATTTCTAAATTGCCTTTCTGTCTTTCTGTCATTATCTCTGTCTTCGTAGTGTTTTTTCTCATATTACGTTCCTTCCCCTTTGTTATTAATTTGGTTTAGGTGGCTCTGTAGCCATTCCGTACTTTATACTATGAGTACCTGTTCGTTGCCGAATAGTAATTATGTAATATCTTCTTCGTGATTAAAGTGTGTTTCCTTACATATTGTATCCATGTATGTGATGACAAGAAGTGGTGATAGTATCCAGTCCTGACCCACACCAGAGTTCACTATAAAAGTTCTTGAGAATCCTGCCTTTGATCTCATGCAGCATTTACTACCTGTGTGTGTATATAGGCTTTTTCATTCATCATTCTTTTTGGGAGTGATACTTGGTCAACTGACTTGTGCCAGTAGAAATGGCTAAATAACTTGCTTGTGCAATGACTGTGAACACTTGTCTTTAGTCAGCATTGCTCAGTCATCAAAGGCTGTCACTGCTTAGCCATCTGTCCTTGGTCAAGATTGTTGTAGATTGATGAACTTGTTTCTCTTTTTCATAGCATTCACCGGCTGTCAACTCTGACAGAAACTTCTGATCGTTCATCCAGTTATAAATTTTGGTTGTGTAACAGCACTTGAGTTTTGCATTTCACAGATCTGGTTTATTTGTATGCAGACTGTTTGTTTCTCATCTCTCAGGTGGATGCACTCTATCTTTGAAGGAAAGACACGTGATTAGTCGTCTTTTAGGACATATTTATTAAGGGGTCAGTGTCTCTTCCCCCCCCCCCCCCCCCCCCCCCCAAATCGGCCGACTGAACACATATGGGGAGTAACCATTCATTGTTTTATTACTATATACCTATGCTTTTTATATTATTTATATGAATGTCAGTTGTTGAACTTTCTTCATCCCAGAGACCCATTTTATTGACATAAGTTATTCATGTTGCAAACTACATATTAACGCAACAGTCAGCTTATGTGGGTTGAATTACAATGTCTTTGTTAATTAGATCTTCAAATACATCAGCTTCAACAAGACCATGACCCAGCTGTCAACCACATTGAGCCGCTGTGCCAAAGACTTGCTTGGTTTCTTCATCATGTTCTTTATTGTGTTCCTGGCATTTACCCAGCTGGGTTACCTCTTGTTTGGCACTCAGGTCCAGGACTTCAGTACTTTCATGAACTCTTTGTAAGTTTTTTTATCATTTTTTAGTGTGTTTTCATGAACTCTTTGCAAGTTTAGTTTATTTCTGATTTTTAGTGTGTTTTCATGTTCTCAGGGAGGCGCTATGCTCTGGCGGCTAGACACTTGCCTGCGGATCGGAAGGTAGTGGGTTCGGTTCATGGCTGGGGCCTGACTTTTTTCAAAAATGACCTTGGCTCCCAGGTTGACCCAGCCTTGAGTAGATACCAGGTGCAGTCCTGGGAAGTAAAGGCAGCCGGTGTGATGCTGACCACATCACCCACCAAGTGCTGTTTGGTCTAAAAATATGGATCTAGCCCTATATACCCAATACGTCTGAAAGTCGTGGAAAAGAGTCCTTTACTTACTTTTTTAATGAACTTTTTGTAATTTTAGTTTAATCAGACCTATTCGCCACAAACCAGAGGCAGATTTTGTCAACTTTGAGCTACTGACACACTCACTCATCACACATACTTCTTCTTTAACCATCTCTGGTCATGCACTTAATTTACAGTAGGCCATGGATTAGGATTTTAGCTCAAGGTCTCTTAGGTTTCCCTAAAGCTTTGTTGTCAGGTCAATGAGGTGTGGCCACATGTTGCTTCACAGCTGCTCCAGGAGAGGAGGACAGTATTGCAAGACATGTTCTGGTGTCCATTCAGCAGGCTGACGCTGACAGAGACTTGTTTGGCCCATAACTGATTTATATAAATGCTTGTTGAGTCACCACACATACACGTACCTTTTCATAATCATTTTCATTTTTTTTTCATATCCACAGTTTTACTCTGTTTCGAATCATATTGGGGGATTTCAACTTTTACCAGCTGGAACAAGCCAACCGTATCTTGGGGCCAATCTTCTTCATGCTGTTTGTGTTCTTTGTCTTCTTTGTGCTCATCAACATGTTCCTGGCCATCATCAACGACACCTACTCTGAAGTCAAGTCAGACATGGCCAAGCAGACTGATCTGTTTATAATGTCCGACTACCTCAAACAGGTAAATCAATTTCTGATGTGTGATGATAGTATGTTGTCCGTCAGTGTATATGCTGTGCTGGCCATGGTAGTGCAATCAATAGCTTGCTGTTTGCTTGCCAGCCTTGAGGTTGTAGGGTTTGAATTCACACCAGGCAGACTTTTTTTTTTTTTTTAATAATTGACTTTGCTTTCTTGTCTTTTTCCTCTTAGTGTTGACCGGCTGTAAACTCTAGCGGAAAGTTATGGTTGTTCATCCACCTTTGTATTTTGATCTTGTTCCAAGACTTGAGTTTTGCATGCACATCTACTTTATAAATCTGGCTTATTTATATGCAGACTGTTGGCTCTTCACCACTCAGACAGATGCACTCCACCTATGAAGGAAACATCCCTCGTTACTTGACTTTTATGACATCCTTTTTACTTTGAAGGAAATGCCCCTAATTTATAAAAAAATTTACAACATGCTTGTTGAAGGAGTCCCCCCCCCCCCCCCCCCCCCCCCCCCCCCCCCCCCCCCCCCCCCCCCCCCCCCCCCCCCCCCCCCCCCCCCCCCCCCCCCCCCATGGGGCCCTGGAACCTAGACGGGAAGCTTCCAGGTTGACCCAGCTTAAATTGAATACTAGAAAAAATTTCTTGGAAGTGAAGGCGGCCAGTGTGAAGTTGACCTCATTACTCGTTGATTACAGCTTGTTGGAGCTATGGTAGCACACTGTCGATTACCTTGACCCCTGGCCCAGTTGTTTGATTTAATCTCTTTTATTTGGGCTCTTCTTTCATCAGCCTGCGCTTGAATGATAATTTATAATTTAGCCTATCAGTGTACCAGGACATTTTCTAGAAAGTAGAGGTGTATGATCTGATATAGGCTACATCTTCCACTTAGTGCAGATTGATATACAAATGGGGCTACCACTTGTTGCACAAAGGAGGTCTTTTACTTTTTTCTCACTGATCATATTGATGATGAGAGGTGCTGGGCTGGATTCTATCAGTGATATTAAAGTGATTGCAGAGAATAGAATCAAATGGAGATATAGACTGCGAGCCCTATGGGACATGTATGGCACAACGGGACAATAAATGAATGAATTATGACAAGAGTAAGTATGTGAAGATACTGCAGCAACTGGAAAATCATGATTGTTTGTATTCCCGCCTATGACTGCAACCTAAGAGATTGACATTCACTGACTTGAAACGCCATTTTTTTTTTCAATAAAATATGAATCCAAAATTAACAAATCTTAGATACTCTGTTCATGTGTACAAAACACTTATGTTGGGGTAGCCTACAGCTACCAGGTAACCTGATGTCCTGTGTGGATGGGGAGTTTTATAGAGAAGTATAATTGCTAACGCCAGGAAGGCTCTCAGTGATAATACTCTACTGCTTGTATTGTTGGCAGTTTTAGCAGCTATGTTGATGAGAAAGGAGTTTGAATGCTATCTAGATTTTTTTTAATACCTCTTTTTTTTCTATCAGGGCTATGGTAAAATCTGGGACAAACTAGGAACGAAGCGTGAACAGCTGGAAGACTATGAGAAAATTCTCAGCACCGGCAAGAAGATGCATTTTAATGATTGGAAGAAACAACTCCTGGAGTAAGATGTGATTTTATGATGTTTCAGTTAACCCTTCTAGCACCATAAGAAGATGTTGTATGTGATGTCAACGAAGAAAATGTGTCTGTTACTTTTAGTAGAGTGGAAGTGGTAATTAGACAGGCCAGATTTTTTTAGTGTGTTCTGACCGAATAAAAAATAAAATTTAAAGAACATATTAAGCTCTGTAGGGTTTTCAGCAAATCGAGTGATTCAAACATTATGTGTTGTTTGGGACTTGAAAAGTTAACAGTAGATCTTGTGAATCATCTACATTATATAAATTCGTCATGGATTGTCTTTAACTCATTTGATTTCTCGTGATTTCACAGCCTATATGCAAGGGGTAAAAAGGCCACAAGTTGAAGAGAAAAAAAAAAAAGTATTACTTTCAGAGATGTAACATAAACTGTGCTTTATAGCCAGAGTTCTCCAGTATGCTTATAGTAGAGTAAAGGACCCTTTTCCATGCCTTTAGGCGTATAGGGCTAGACCTATATTTTATAGACCAATCAACACAAGATGGGTGATGTTGTCACCTTTACCTCCTGGGAGGGCAGCTGGTACCCACTCAAGGCTGGGTCAACCTGGAAGCCAAGGTAATTTTTTTTTAAAGTTCAGCAGTTGTCCGGGCCCTAATATAACCTAACCTGTGGGTCGAGCAGGGTTTCTGGGACTTGTGCCCAGGTGATCCTCATTTGTCTGGTGGCACTTTGTATCACCCGGTGTTGGTTGCTCGTTGTACAGTCCTGGTGGGGTTGAACAACAAGAATGAAATTTCTGTGTTGTGTCTCTCCTTTGGTAATTATATTTGATTTATCATTTCTGTGTCTTGTCTCTCCTTTGGTAATTATAATTGATTTACCATTTCTGTTTCCTGTCTCTCCTTTGGTAATTATATTTGATTTATCATTTCTGTGTCTTGTCTCTCCTTTGGTAATTATAATTGATTTACCATTTCTGTGTCCTGTCTCTCCTTTGGTAATTATATTTGATTTATCATTTCTGTGTCCTGTCTCTCCTTTGGTAATTATATTTGATTTATCATTTCTGTGTCCTGTCTCTCCTTTGGTAATTATAATTGATTTACCATTTCTGTGTCCTGTCTCTCCTTTGGTAATTATATTTGATTTATCATTTCTGTGTCCTGTCTCTCCTTTGGTAATTATATTTGATTTACCATTTCTGTGTCCTGTCTCTCCTTTGGTAATTATATTTGATTTATCATTTCTGTGTCCTGTCTCTCCTTTGGTAATTATATTTGATTTATCATTTCTGTGTCCTGTCTCTCGTTTGGTAATTATATTTGATTTATCATTTCTGTGTCCTGTCTCTCCTTTGGTAATTATAATTAATCTACAATTTTGGTATTGTGTCTCTCCTTTAGTAATTATAATTGATTTACCATTTTGGTGTTGTCTCTCTCCTTTGATGATTATGTTTGATTTATCATTTCTGTGTCCTGTCTCTCCTTTGATAATTATGTTTGATTTATCATTTCTGTGTCCTGTCTCTCCTTTGATAATTAAATTTGTTTTATCATTTTGGTGTCCTGTCTCTCCTTTGATAATTATATTTGTTTTATCATTTTGGTATCCTGTCTCTTCTTTGGTAAAAATATTTGATTTATCATTTCAGGGTAATATCTCTCTTTTGATAATTATGTTTGATTTATCATTTCAGGGTAATATCTCTCCTTTGGTAATTATGTTTGATTTATCATTTCTGTGTCGTGTCTTTCCTTTGGTAATTATATTTGGTTTATCATTTCTATATCATAGCTCTCCTTTGGTAATTATATTTGATTTATCATTTCTGTGTCTCTCTTTTAGTAATTATATTTGATTTATTATTTCTTTGTTGCGTCTATTCTTTGGTAATTATGTTTGATTTATCATTTCTGTGTTGTATCACTACACTCCTTTTATAATTATATTTGATTTATATATTCTGTGACCTGTCTCTTCTTTGGTAATTATATTTGATTTACCATTTGTATTGTGTTACTCCTTTGATAACTATATTTGATTTATATATTCTGTGACATGTCTCTCCTTTGGTAATTTTATATGATTTATCATTTCTGTGTTGTGTGTCTTCTTTGGTTTTTTGTTATTATTTATAATTTCTTTGTCATGTCTCTTTTTTGAAATTTATATTTGATTTATCATTTCTGTATTGTGACTCTCCTGTGATAGACTTGTCTAAATGATTTCTTCTCTGATATGCCACTTCTTTGATATTGACACCTTGTTATGTTTGCAGGCAGAACTTCAATGAAGAAGAAATAGAGGAAGTGTTTGCCAAGTATGACATTGATGGAGATCGATATCTAGACCCACCAGAGCAGCAGAAAATGTTGGCAGAACTCCAGAAGCTGAAAGTTAGTATTCTCTTTATTCAAATAAAAAAGAGCAGTTGTGTGTAAGGGAGAAAATGTGCTTACAAGGTGTTATAATTAAACAAGAAGAAAGCATTCGACTGAGAAATGTGTCAGTATGACTATATGAAATAAAATAATTAGTTGTAAGATCTACTTCACAGCATAGCAAACTATTCAGCTAATAAGTGCATGCATGGCTTTTTCTGCCCGCTAGCAAAAAGAGGTATCGGTACTCACAACAAAATATTTTAAAAGATATTTATACTCACTACAGTAACACTGAAAAAAGATTCTGCCAGTATGATGCTGGTACTAATTACCATTGCATTTCACCAGAAAAAAACAAAGCTTTCAGTGCATGGATCTTGTCATCAGCATATCTCTTGACACAGCGGTTCTAAAACTGTGGGTTGCGACCCTTTTGTGGGTCTAACGACCCTTTCAGAGGGGTCACCAAAGACCATCGGAAAGCACATATTTGCTGAAGTTATAAGGTAGCAACAGAAATTATTTTATGGTTGGGGGTGGCCACAACCTGAGGAACTGTATTAAAGGGTCGCTGCTTTAGGAAGGTTGAGCACCCCTGCCGTAGCATGTACTACCCTATTGGTTGTATTATGGGTTACTGTTTTACTTTGGCTTCCTGTGTAGCCCCCTTGTCTGGCTCCACTAGGGCAGATTGCATTTTCCTAACTACAGGCAGCACAGTGACTTCTTTTCATTAAATTGACACTGTCTGTGCAGACATAAGACTATCTAAATTTTTCCTCTGCTTTTTCATAATTCTAGTAGTAATCATCTAATTAGATTCTAGGTTTTCAATAATTTAATTAGAATTATAGATATCGCTTCATGTAAATAGAATTATAAATATTGCATCGTGAATTCTAAGTATTTTAAATTAAAATAATCTTGTTATTATCGGAACGGGTGAAATCAGCAACTCAGATAAATGACGTGTGCATTGACTTTGAACTAATTAATGACTGAATGATCATGGAACTGAAAGAGTTGATGGATCACCATCATCATCATCTAGTTCCACCTCCAAAGTAAATGCTGACAGTAAAGGATCTTGAACAGTTTTTGTCACAAGCCTTCAAGTGGTCATCCTCCATGGGCCTGGCTACAGAAGATATAATCTACATGTTCTTTGAAGTCGGAGCCACTGCCTGGGAGGCGAGCATGCACAAAATCTGCACACAGTAAACTGGATCTGGAAAATGGATGTGCACATAAAACTCGAGCCCTGGAACAAGATTAAAGTCCAGACACCGATGACCAGTCAGGACTTTCAGCTGGAGTCCACATCAAAGAATGCAGAAGAAAAAGGGAGAAAAGAAGAAGCCTTTACTGTACATTTTGCCTAACTGTATCCTCACTATATCTTAACATTCTCTACTTGTCTATATCATTTGTCCACATCTGTCCCTTCCATTAAGGTTTTGAGTAGGTTGTCAAGTCCTTCGATAGGCACTTGCTCCTTTAAGGTATCCATTTGGCTTTTTTTTTTTAAATGGATAAATAATATCAAAATTGTGAAGATTGCAGATTGATGCCATTGTGTTGTACTCACTCAGACTGATCTGGATGCAACCAAGAAAGCTGATGCCAATAACTTTGATGACATGCTGCGCGATGAGGACAGTGACGCTGAAATTGAGGGAGGAGGAGACATAGTTCACTCTAATGAGTTCCTGGTGAGCGGTTTTTTTTTCTCTCTTTCAAACAAGATACGATTGTTATTCACCAGTGAATCACATGATGTGATAAATGCTTGGATCAGTAAGCAACCACAACCCCCCCTTTTTTTTGCAGGCACCATTAATACCTACCTAAGCAATCACATGCTTGCATGAATGCTTATGTTGGTGTGTTTTTTCTCACCAACCTGTGGTGCATATTGTTCTTTCTGTTCCACACCTTTGAGCATATAGGGCTAGAGCTATATTTTATAGACCAATCGGCACAAGATGGGTGAAGTGGTCAGCAAAACTCTGGCCGGCATTGAAAAAAGGATTAAAGAAACAAAAATGTGGGTTTCCAGGTTTACTTTGCCTACAAGGAAACCAGGAAATGTTGAGGGAAATATAGGTGGCTGAACATTAACAATTTGAACCATCATCAGGGTCTTTACAGAACTTTGCTGTCATCAGGACACGTCATCTGAAAGTCTGTCTATCTCTAGTCAGTCTACCAGTCTTGCTGGTGTGTGCCTTCATAGCCAGTGCATCTTCACTGTCTTGATCCACCTTTGTGGAGGTTGGCCTTCTGGTAACAGGGATAAGACCTGCAGGAAAGCCAGAGCTATGCTATAAAGACATATGCAAATGTGACCTGAAAGATATCAACATTGGCACAAACACTTGGGAGTGTTCAGCTGTTTACCGACTCCTTTGGAGGCAGACAGTGAAAGACGGACTGTTGCAGTGTGAAAGAGGCCAAATGCAGCAAACATCTGAAAGAGAAAACAGCCTCAGAATGATAGCATGTCAGTTTTTATGTGTAATTTATGTCAGAGACAGCTATTTTTGCATTGGACTTTCCAGTCATAGCAGACACTGCTCCCAAAACCAGCAGAACAACTTCCTGGTCCTCAGGGACTGATGGTTGCCTACATTAGAAGTTGGCCTAAGTCACATTTCCCCTGAAACTACACTCATCACCATTTTGTCCAGGCTACCATGACATGAAGTTCAACCTGGCCAAAATATGTCAGCTTTCTGAAAGGATGCTGTTTATCAACAAGCTCTCCTTGATATTCAAATCGTGCATGATGTCCAGGTTTTCCTTCCTCTTGGTGGATGGTATTCTAAGAATGTTTCATTAACAATCCAATTCAAAAGCTCTCTGAGTTGGTTTCTGGGGCCACATTGTGGGGAAAACAAGAATAGACCCACTGCCTACCCAAAAAAGCATGTTGCAGGTGTCACTAATTGGAGATTCACTTCGAAGTCCTAGTGCATATGCCTGAGAGGCAAGGAACCAACATTCTGTGTACTGATAAGTCAGATCTGTAAAATGGGTGTGCACGCAACACTCAGGTTCTGGAAAAAGTCTAAAGTCCAGAGGTGGTTGAAAAACCAGAACTTTCCACCAGAGTTTACAGCTGGTGAATGCAAAGAAGAAGAAAGGAATTCAAAAGCTCTGATTTTTTTCTTAAATAATTGAGTTCTGTGACTCACATCCTGTTGCCACAGTAAAGATACTTGATCTCAAAATCTCTTTTGCAGGTGCTGTTTCAGCTTTGTTTGTTTCTAGTAAAGTAAAGGATCCATTTCCACACCTTTAGGTGTATTGGGCATACAGTGCTAGATCTTCATTTTATAGACCAGTCAGCACTCAGTGGATGATGTGGTCAACATCTTTATAGACCAGTCAGCACTCACGTGGAAGTTAGATTTTCTAGGAACACACACACACACTTGTGTACACACAAATATATACTATATATGTATATATATGTTTGTGTATGTATATATAAATATAAATATAATGTGAGTCTCCCCTTACTTTGCACATCCGCATGGTTAAGCACCTCAGCTTCAAGCAATCTTTTAGGTTGCCAAGTGTGTGAGTATCCTACTCTGTGATACTATTGCTAACAACAGATAGCACAGCAGAGGTATCCACTTATTTCGGCAGATACTCAGACCCCAAGACTGTGTTAGTCGCACCAAGGTATATTTCTGTCCTCCACCGTGAAGTGCCGTTGGGGATTTTCTCTTTATCGAAACATGAGGCCAAAGTGGCATTTTCCCACTTACCTATTGAGTGCCAGTTGGTACATACAGTTTTTTTTACCAGCACAGTATGTCCAATATTGCTCATGGCACAAAGATAGCCTCACTGACTGACTGAATGTATTGCCTAAGATATTCTATTTTAAAACATCTACTGTTTTGCTAGTTTTTTCTTTTATTTGTCTATGTATCTTGTCCTTGTGACAAATTGAATTCCTGACCTTGTAAGATATTACTAGAACTCTGTTAGTCACTGACATTTATTATTTTTTAAATGCCAATGGTCGCTGACCGAAAAGTTTAAAATAGCATTTCTGGTGTCCTTGGACAGGTTCTGACCCGCCGAGTTGATCGCCTGGAGAGCACACTGATTGGGATTGTTGGCAACATCGAGTCAGTGCTAACCAACATTTCTGACAGGTGAATCTGCTGATCTCTGTCAGATTGTATGGCTACAAGTGACAGTTATGTTCAGTGATTGTATGGCTACAGGTGACACTTATGTTCAGTGATTGTATGGCTACAGGTGACACTTATGTTCAGTGATTGTATGGCTACAGGTGACACTTATGTTCAGTGATTGTATGGCTACAGGTGACAGTTATGTTCAGTGATTGTATGGCTACAAGTGACACTTATGTTCAGTGATTGTATGGCTACAAGTGACACTTATGTTCAGTGATTGTATGGCTACAGGTGACTATGTTATGTTCAGGTGACACTTATGTGATTGATTATGGCTACAGGTGACACTTATGTTCAGTGATTGTATGGCTACAGGTGACACTTATGTTCAGTGATTGTATGGCTACAGGTGACACTTATGTTCATTGATTGTATGGCACTTATGTTCAGTGATTGTATGGCTACAGGTGACACTTATGTTCAGTGATTGTATGGCTACAGGTGACACTTATGTTCAGTGATTGTATGGCTACAGGTGACACTTATGTTCAGTGATTGTATGGCTACAGGTGACAGTTATGTTCAGTGATTGTATGGCTACAGGTGACAGTTATGTTCAGTGATTGTATGGCTACAGGTGACACTTATGTTCAGTGATTGTATGGCTACAGGTGACACTTATGTTCAGTGATTGTATGGCTACAGGTGACACTTATGTTCAGTGATTGTATGGCTACAGGTGACACTTATGTTCAGTGATTGTATGGCTACAGGTGACAGTTATGTTCAGTGATTGTATGGCTACAAGTGACACTTATGTTCAGTGATTGTATGGCTACAGGTGACACTTATGTTCAGTGATTGTATGGCTACAGGTGACAGTGGCTACAGGTGACACTTATGTTCAGTATTGTATGGCTTCAGTGACACTTATGTAGTGATTGTATGGCTACAGGTGACACTTATGTTCAGTGATTGTATGGCTACAGGTGACACTTATGTTCAGTGATTGTATGGCTACAGGTGACACTTATGTTCAGTGATTGTATGGCTACAGGTGACAGTTATGTTCAGTGATTGTATGGCTACAGGTGACACTTATGTTCAGTGATTGTATCCAGACAGCAGAAACAGTGACAGGCATTACAAGAGACGTGATATGAGGGTCTGGGGCCAGACGGTTGGTTTAACAGATGCGGGACTAAGGCTGGGATTGTGTGAGCAGTTGTTGAGGGGGAGATGAACTGCTCAAACTTTGTCTAATTTCCAGTGTGTACAGTTATGATTACATTGCTTTCAAGCATGTCCGATGATTTGCATCAAGGTCTTTTGCTTGATGAGAGTACCCAACTACTGTGTTGTAAAACACTCAGCACTTGAAAACACCCAATATAAATGAGTCTTTCAACAGGTAGTTATAAGCCTCTGAACAATTTACAAACCACTGTTTTTATAAGAATTACAATTGGTTGAAAGGATAAGTATAAATCCAATAACTTTTTAAAGCCAGGTTGATTTTACTCCTGCAAGATTCGGTGGTTAAGTTCATGAGGTCACTATGCATTCAGTTTGATACTTCACTCTCCTCTTGTTTATTGATTACTTTCTTTAGATGTGTTGAAACAAAATTTTATAAAATGTGTATAAGTAAAATTTGAAACAGTTTGTTAGTTACCTATGTAAAAAAGTTTTCCCCAAGTTTTTTTGGGGGGGAAATCCCCATGGATTTGTTATCCCGCCCTCCACTTTTTTAAAGTATTCACAGGGCAAAAGGGTTAATGGGGACTAGGCATTGGTTGATTTAATGTGTGATACTTTTCAGTGTTATAAATCAAAAACATATAATACACTGACCAAGTACCCCAGGAACAGAGTATCTCATACCTGTTAGTGTCAGCATTTATGAGAAGGGAAAGGAGTTCATATTCATGACAAGATATACTTATTGTAGAATAATCTGCATCATGAAACCTTGCGCAGACCGTTAGATGCTCCACCTTCCTCGTTGGATGCAGCAGAATATTGATATTTTATTATTCGGTTTATTTCTTGATGGTATGTGGTCAAGTTAGTTTTTTCTTTAATTTCTCTCACTGGCATGGGAAAATGCATTTTTCTTTGTGTTCATTTTCTTAATGGCCATTTCTTGGACATTGTCCATTGTTTATTTGCTAGCATTCAGTGGTTTTTTGTTTGTTAATATTTTTAGTTTTTTGGGAAAAGTTGTGTTTTTACTTAAATTTTGACCAAGTCTTCCTTTTACTGTTGCTTTTGCTGTTTTTTTACGGATAAGTTGTTTGCATGCGTGCTTGAGAGAGAGGGAAAGAAAAAGTCAATTAGTTTGTTTTAACAAACCAATTCCAGTTCCAGTTTGAAAAAACAGAAAAGTCCAAACTTGATCCTTTGTCAGCCACCCGTAAGCCTGCTATATGAAGGAAGGTTCCTTGGCTATCCTTTTTGGTGTCCTATTTTTAATTGTGTGAAGCCACACCTGATATTTCTTTTCTTTGTCTTCCTAAGTCCGGTGTGTTATTTAACCATTTAACAAACAATTTAGCATTTGTTTTTAAATGTCATCAGAATGTCTCATTTGTTCACTACGAGTCTTTCTGTAGCTATCGCTTTGTGTTGCCACTAAATCTGCTCATTCATTTGCTCGCACTCCTGCATATCCCGGACAGTATATCCATGAGAGTCCCTAAAGGTAAAAGTAAAGTCGGCAGATGTGAACCAGCGTCGTTGCACACGATTATAAACCATAAGTGCTCTGCCACCAGTACGGACAGCTGATAAGAATTGCCCGCCTATGTCGCTGTTTCGCATGTAACTTTGTAGCTACAGCGACGTTCCTCCATTTACCCCAGAGTATCACTCTGGTACCTATTTCCTAGAGGCTGGGTGAACCTCGGGAGCCGCCTGGTTTCGAACACCAACCGTGGGTTGCAGCGAGTCACAGCTGGATTTGAAAGCGAGCCTCTTATCGACTGCGCTAACACGCCCCCCTGAGAGAGTCCCTGTAATTTTGATGTGACCAAGCATTGAACTCTGTAACTGGGTGACAGAATCTTAATTTGTTTTAATTATATTATTTCCTTGTCATAAATGTTGTTTTCAAATACCTGTTTGTTTCATTTGAAATAAAATGTTGAAAGATCTGCAGTGTATTTGTGTGGATACTGAAGTAATTAATCGTGGTTGGCAACAGGAGTTGTAGTGAAGATTTGATTTGAACAAAGGATCAACATTATGGCACATAGGTAGTTACCCATTAGTGCTCTATTCTTCTTCTAACTCAAGTCAGAGTCCGAAGTAGCATGAACTCGTTTAACCGGCGAGGATCCTGAAATATTTTTAACTCCAAGTTAGTCTACTCTTTCCGATTTCCAACTGTCAAGGAATTTTTTACGTACACAACAATACACACGGGCTTCTGATCTCACTACCCAAAGACCAGGGGGAAATTACTAGAAGTGAAGAAATGGATTATACTCTAAACAAGAGAGATGTGTACTGTTTCCTATTAAAGCCTAAAGCAGTCCTGTATTTGTAAATGTGTACATCTTTCTAGTTGTAGCCTCTCCTATAACAAACAGCTCCTGGTTTTCATTCTTATTTGGTCACAAAATGACCATGTAATGATTAAGGTAAGACGCTGAGACAAAGTAGAAGAGAGTAGTACTAGAGAGCAACAAATTGAGGGATTTGGTAGATTATATAAAAACCTACAAAACAGGTATTCCCATTTCAAATAATGCAGACATGGTGAATTAAAGACAGTGTCATAAAACGGGCACGGTTCGGACTGGAATTATCAAGAAGCTTTAACTCAACCCAGAAACGTTGGTAATGTCAGAATTGTTTCAGTGCCGCCACCCAGCCGGTGATATGCTCAGACCTACCAATTCAACAACATGTGTGCTGACCCTCCACAATCCCCCCTCTTTTCCTTGCTGGTCTGAAGTAGGTACCTGGAAATTTAGTAAGAAAGATCTCTTTTTGCGCCTTAGGCGCATTGGGCATATGGGAAGAGCACCCAAATTCTCAAAACCAAACGGCACAAGATGGGTAATGTGGTCAGCATTACGCCGGCCGTCTTTACTTTCCCAGGATATACATCCTGGTACCCATTTAAGGCTGGGTCGACCTGCGGCGCCCCATAACATGATACAAATCCACGCAGTGGGTTTTTCGATCGCAGTATGTTGGAATTACAAGTCGGACTCGCAATGCCTAAGCCACGGACGCCACACCCGGAAATTTATGATAATCTTAAATACTCATCCAATTCCTGTAAACTAAATCAGCAGTTCTCAACCTGTGGGCGCAATACCTTTGGGGTCGAACGACCCTTTTACAGGGGTCGTCTAAGAAGTTATGAAATAGCAACGAAAAAGTTTTATGGTTGGGGGTCACCACAGCATAAGGAACTGTATTAAAGGGTCGCGGCATTAGGAAGGATTGAGAACCATTGCTCTAAATAGTGCATATTATGACCAGCTGCTCTCGGGGACGAGAGCAGTAGGTATATTCACCTCAATTCCCCCATCTCCTTTTTCGTGTTTCCCCATGGGACAACAACGAACAATGCAAATCTGAGGAGCATCGATTGCTTATATAACATACATGACTAAACAAAAGAAAGAGATAACAACGCTGATAAATGCACACAAATTTAATATGCTAGATTTGCTACACCAATCTTCATATTGCAAAGTCAGAACATGGTAATGCATTAGCTTCTACTGTTTAATTTCAGGTTTTCGGTACATCTAGTTTCCTACCAAATTGTGACCGGTGCAATCCTCTCAATATCGTGGACGGAATCCAGTTCAACATCTCTGATTTCTCTTAAAACGTTCATCTGTGGGTTTCTCTTGGATGTTCTTGTGGGAAATATAGATTTTCTGTCTAGGTCATTCGTGGGTGCGACATAATGAGAAGGCTGCTGCCACCCCTTTGGACGGTGAACTACTTTATGTAGAAGGCTCTCTG